AAGAGGAACAGCAACTGGCTTATTTCTTCTTTGCCAGACCCAGGCTTGTGTCTTCACTGTCATGTAATTTTGAGCTGCGCCATCCATATTCCACTCACGAACGCTCGTTTAAAGGACCACGAGCTGCCCCAAGACCGCTGGGTTAGCACACAGAAGTGGCTCAGCATCTGATGGAGCCTGTCTGACAGGGCACCTCCCTGTATGGCCAAAATCAGCAATGACCTCAATTTTGGCACAAGAGAAACTTTTATATAATATAGTATTTAAAAACTCACCACATTGAGTTTCATAGAACATCAGGTAGATTGTCCTGCTTGTATAAAGGGACTTTTTGGGTGTACAACTTCTTGGTAAATCTGAGAGCTTAATGTATGAGAAGATGTGTACAGTATGAGTGTAAACACAAAGCCTCCCTGCATGATACAAGGATGATCACACAGAACTCAGAGAAGCAATTAGTAGTTGAAAACACAAAGATACTGAAATGCCTGAAATCAGTCAAGTATTAGTCCATGTAAAACAAACTTGGTAAAGGACTCTCATTCTCGCTATGCAGTAAGTGAAGGCAGAGGAACTGTTGAAAGGATTTTTAACCGGAGAATCAACAGGAGTAAATTTGTCCTTCTGCCCTTCTATAATCTTCTGCTTTATTTCTTTACTGAGAATATATTCTTGTCTTCCTATTTATCCTCCATAGTGGAAAAATCTTACCTCCCATGCCACAGGGAGGCCAACACTGGACAGACACAAAGAACACAGAAGCTCATCACCCTTGGCAGGATCTTCAAGAGATCCCTAACTCCAAGGGAATTATGGTCTTGCCCCGGATTCTGGATGACAAATTAGTCTTACTCCTTTTGAGCTGGTGCAGTGTCCTTACCAAAATCCCGGTGAGAAGCACGTTACGGCACAGTGATGGAGTTTGCTCGGTGCTGTGCTCCGTTACAGCTGAGAACTTAATTCCCTGAGCTGCAAGGGCGTCTTGAAACAGTGTTCAAAGAGTGAATACAATCTCAGATTGGCTTGAAACTATTTTGAGGAGCTCAGGCAGGTCTGAATATATACCAGAGACAGAAACTTACCATTTAAAGGATAAGAATATCAGGCAACATATCTCTAAGTACAAAAGCTTTCTTGCTGTGATTGACACAACTCCGCTTAGCCCATCCACTGCTTAATCAAGCTGATGCTTGTGTAACACTTCTAGGAATTCTACATGACATTTCAGCATCAAGAAAAAGAGATGTTTCCCAAGGGTGCCTTTATGGGGTTTTAATGGTGATGCAGCTGAACTTTGTGATGAACTTGCGGTGCTAATGAGCACCATATCCATAAAGCTACCCTCAAAAACCACCTTTACACCTTTGAAATGGACCTGTGATTCACACATTGCACAGCCGAATTGCTGCACAATGCTCCAGGCATCTCTAGCAATCCTGGCAACTATTGTGGCGGCAGATAATCAAAACACATCTACCTTCATTCTAAGACATAACAGGCTCATTTAATCGGTTTCGTTACTTCATCTGTTGAAAATGACACTGATGAAAATCTCAGTTATCTGAAAATGATTGATGGGTTCAATACAGAGAAAGTTTGCAAGTGGCACTAATCATAGCTAATCTCATGGATTGCAAGTGATTCTATTTCGTTTCTATAACAGGGTGCTTAAGATAATTTTGACATATGATATATATATAGTTTGAAACGTGAACACATGTTTTCCAGGATCTTTGTTCTTAAAAGTATATGCATATTGACCCTACATAATGAAATTAAAAATTGTTCATTTTCAGGGTTTGTTACCATTTGTTGGTAAGTTTATCTTTTTTGTTTGCAAGAGACAATGTTGTAGCAGCTATTTGAAAGTGTGTACATTCAACTTCTCTAATCGTTTCAAACAACACACCTGTGAAACCCACAGGATAAATGATTTTGTTAAAGCAATAGCTTGTATTTCAACTCCAGCAAAGGACAAGGTGGAGGGAATGAAAGTTAGCAATCAGCAACAGGAAAGAGCAGCATGACATAACTGAAAAATGTAGAAAATTCAAGGCTGATTTTATGAATCAATTTCAAAACTTGAAAAATAATAAGGCTTCCTTCCTGTAAGTTTACATTCTGACTGCGTACACATATATACACATTTCAAATGACAGAAAAGTAAACGAGGCCATCTGGTGCACCTGGTTCAGGACTAGGGCTGGTTCACCGCAGCACTCAATAAATCACTGCGCCAACCCATCAAAGCCTGGCAACCATACTGCTCACATTTTTGAAAATGATTAGATGTGGCTTCCCCCCTTAGCAGACCTGGCCCTTCTATAGGTGTAGACCTGTACCTGCATCTCCCCCAGCTGTGATCCCTTCTTCAGCGCTGCACGTGACAGATGGGCATTCCCTACGCAACCAGGCTTTTCTCTACAGATAAAGCCAGGCTGTATTCCTCATTTTGTTATGTCTTGGTCTGTCAATGCCTTTTATGACCAAGGATGTGGTCTGTGGTGGGTGCCAGAGTGCGACAGAGCCCTGGAAGCCCCGCATGCAAAGGAAGAAGGGACAGGCTACGAAAGCTACTGCCTCAGGGCTAGCATGTACCCACGCACGGGCGATGTATCTGCCAAAATTCAGTCTCAGCTGGCAGCTGTAACCACTTTATTGTGTTTGCCACCCTGGTGCCAAGCATGATAGGGAACAGAGGTCCCAGTGGGGACCACAGCCGGTTGCCAGTGGGCAAGTTCTGGTTGATGCTCTTTTATCCGCTGCCGTTGCCATAGGAGACTCCAGTTAAGGAGGATCTGCTGACTTCCCCCCTTCCACCCTCCCATCTGCTACAGCACATTCCCTGCCTCTCCTTATATTGCCTCACAGCTAAAGGCATCTGTCTCTAAACCCCCTCACTGTTCGGTCCCCCTCTCTCCCACGAGAAAAATTAAGGTGTAAACCTCAGTTTTCCCATATCAAAGGAAGCCTCAGGCTATATCCTATTGTTGAGAGGGGTGGTCTGAGCAGGATGTCAGCACGTGAGAGAAAGTCCCCTCACTTGAGTTGTTCTTGGAGGCTGGCATGATGCTGCTGGAGAAGAACGACATACAGCCAAAAGGGGAGCTGGAGACTGCCTACTTGGGACCTCGTCCTCCCGACCCAGGCCTCAGACTTGAAGACCTGCTGCAGACAAACACAATGACTTTATATATCCCAAGCTGCAGCTGATGGAGGTTTCAGCCCTGCGGTCTCCCGAATGTCACCATTGTGGTCTTCAGTGTCTTGAGAAAACAGGACATGGTACTCAGAACCTCCACTTCTGTGGTCCTCAAGGGGTCCTAGATGGAGCTGAACTCTCACGCTTCTCTCAGACCCTCTTTGGCTAGGAGAAAGGCAACCATCTTCCCAGCACTATGCCTTTCTTCAAATTGAGGTCAAAAAAGAAAGGTCTGGTGGTTTTATAGCATGTCATTAGTATGTCCAGCAGAACCTAGAGCCTGGACTGAGCCTTGGTGAGGCATTGCCAGAGTAACATGTCAAAGCGAGCACAGCCATGTCCATAGCAGTAAACAGCAGCGGTCCCTAGCATCTCCCAACTTTCACACCATGCGCACAAGATGTTTAGGGGAAGTGCTGGCTGTCAGGGATAAATACTTTCCTGAGACCATCCACCAAATCTACAGATGATTCTAAGATTTTACAGGTTTACTAAGCAAGCCCAATGCCAGGGAATATTCATGCACACGGTTCAATTCAGTAGTATGAATGCAACCAGAGCGTGATGACATAGAGCTGATGCTGGACAGACATTACAACGAAAACCAGAAAATCTGAGAGTTTTCCCTTGGCTTGAGCAGACGTCTCTGTGTGTTTTTGCTCAGTACGACTATAACTTGCTGCTACGGCTGTGTTTTACTGCCAGGTTTCCTCCACACACACACAGACAAAACGGTTTAAAACATGTATGGAACATTTCAGTTACGGTACATGGCCAAGTCACTGGGAAGACTTCAACAAAGAGAAATTTCTGTAATTCAGATTCTTTTTCAGGCAGCTGGTTTTAGTATCAAGTATTCTTTTTCAAGTAACCTTCCAAGATTAAGGTGTGTTGAATTCATTAGGTCACTGCCACCACTCCTGACTGATGTGGATCGTACAAGTGAAGCAAAGCAAGTGAAGCTGAGTGATGTGATAGGACACTAGGCCTGGAGATTAAGTTAAATATCATTACTATTTTGGAATACAGCATTTATATTTTAACCTGGAAATTATAAATGAGTTTGAGACACAGAAGAAAAAAATGTTCTGGCTCCAGAAATTGTGTTGCTTAAAACTCTAGGTATGCTGATGGCTCTATTGTGCTATATACACCACTTGACTTGCATTAAAAAGAAAAAGCTGTCTGAATTCTTATACAAGGCAACCATACTTCTGCCATTTGTAACTAAAAACCTCTCTGCTGCTTTGTGTGTTTCAGATGTCAAAACCTGAGGCAAAGTGGTGAAAGTCCTTTGTTTGGGGGAAAAAAAGTTACATGGAAATCAGGTACAACCTCCAAGCAAGGTCTTGCTCTCATATCTCTGTAGATATGACGTTTCAAACATCATCCCAGGGACCAAGAGAAGAAACAGTCATTGACTGTTATTTCCCAAATAAATTCACACTAGTACAATGTGATCAAATATCTAGAAAGGAGGAGGTTAGAGATGAAAAAACAGAGAAATTATTTTTCCCCATTCAAGACCCTTACTATTTAATTTCCCTTCCTTCCTACCCCACCCAGGTATATAGCTTTACCCAGCAATTACTAGACAGTAACATGTAGACCTAATTCCTCACTGAAACATTGACGATCAGAAAAATAAAAAGAAGGACGCACAGCACGAGACCCAAGAGGTATGTGAACGCCAGTTTAGAACAGGAATTATGGGTCACTATGGAAAGCATGGTTGTCTCATTTCTGATGATGAACTCAGAGTTCCTGCAATTCATAGGGAAAAAATTATGTTTTTTAGTCTGATTTTGGCGATTTTGTTCAATTCGTGATGAGTGGACCATGCCACATTTTGGTAATCACGAAAAAAGAAGCAACTGATGCTATTCCTCACTGGAAAGAGCTACACGAGTCGAGTGGGAGCGTGCCTGGTGAGCCTGAGGCTAAGCCAGACAGGTAACTACCAGTGCAAATGTGTGTATGTGACTCAGTTACGGTATACGGAGCACATCATAAACCACGGCACATTCTTACAGATGCTCACGTGCATGGGGTGCAGGCAGAGTTCTTCACCTGGTCCTTCACAGGGCCACCACCAGAGATGCAATCGCAGCTCCTGTGGGAACATAGAAACTCCGTGCTTCCTCGGTGAAGATGGCAAGCAAAGGGCACTGATCCCTTGCTGTTTCTGAACGACCCTTGAATGAGTTGTTAGAGCAACGGGAACAGCGCTACGCTTCAAAGTGGTTGTAGTCCACACATTTCCCCTTCATACTAGGTCACCCAAAGGGACCACCAGCATGGCCTGCCGGGGGCTGCATTCTTGCCCACCTTTACTCCTGTGTGTGCCGGGAAGCTGTAGATGTGGCCCAAAGGAGAGTAGGGGACACCTGAAGCATGCTGTGCTCTCTGGGACCGCTCCGTAAAAACCAGCAAACAACTGGGAGGGTTTGGAGTTTTGTTCCCCCCTCCTCAATTCATAAAAGATGCATAAAAACATTGTAAGGATTACATGTTCACAGCCATGGTATCCTAGTCTAGTTTTCTCCCGTGCCAAGTATTTGCAGAGGATGATAGTTGCATACACAGTATTAGACAGTGAAGACAGTGTTCACAAAAATTCAAATATTGGATCAAGTTTTATATGTAGACAAGAGATTTACTTAAAGAAACATGAATTTAAATACTTTGTTTCAAAAAAGAACTTGTCATAATAACTGATATTTTTGTTGATGCTTGCTGTATCCCTTTCTGCATTAATTTAGTACAACAGGGGAATATTGCATTTTCTGTAAGTGGCCAAGAGGGACTGTATTTACATAGCTAAATAAACCTTAGAAATACAGGCAAGTAACAACGAGAAGTACCTCTGTTGAAGACAATTCTGTAGTGCTATCGTTTTTATGATCATGCTGTACACAAATTAAGCACAATCCTTTTACTGATCATTCCTTATACACCATGCACTTGTCAGTAGTAATTCTGCCTAGTGAAACAGAGACACTATTTTGAATAAGCTACAGGGGAATTAGAAAAGCCACATGGCTGAGATTTCTCTTTCATAGCACATGACAGGGCACTTTTTGAGAAGATTAATAAATTCTCTTCTCAGAAACATTACTTGAGTCACAAATCTGAATTTAATAAAAACTTAGTTTGGTATTCTATTCTTACATTTCACTAAACTTTAAGAATGTACATCTTCGAGAAGTCAACTGTTAACTCAATGCGTGCAGTGACTTAAATACTTTATGACTTTGTTTACTGTTAGGTTGGAAGGAACCGTGGAAACTGGGAGTATATTAGATATATGTGATGTGCAAGACAGCGTAGAAGATGCCAGCAGACAACTTGCCTTCTTTTTCCCAAATTTTGATATAAAGAAGACAGACCAAAAAGTTGAAAATACTTTGGCCTTAATTAGACCTTTTCTCTTAAAGGAAAGACGAAGTAAGTGTTAATAGCTACATTTTCTATCCAGGGTATATAAAAAGTGTCATATTTTGAATTTTAAAAATTCTAACTCTATTAACAAAATGTTCTTAGGTTACATTGTCTCCTCAGCATTAAGTTGACAGTAATCTTTGTCAGGAAAAAAGTTACACGGTTTACATTTTTGATATATTGAGAATGTAAGTGTCAATGCTATTTTGTTCCTTCAGTTGATTTTCCAAGAATGTCTTTCGACTGTATACGTGGACAGAACTTTTCTAGAAGAACTCTCAGAGAAGCTAGCATTTTCAAGTATAGTACAGGGGATCATACTTCCCACCAAAACACAGCAGCTCATACTATTCTTGAATGGCAGGTCCAAGGTAGATCAATGGCAAGGTTTACAAGATCTGACCCAGGCTGTTCTATGCTACGTAAGACAGCACTGCACAAGGGCAGCCTATACAGACAATGTTTTTACAGATTAAATTAAAAAAAATTTACTCCCTTAGCATGAAGCTCCATCCAAACAAGTTTACTTTTCTTCTCAGGCATACATTTGCATCTCTTCCCAGATAGCATTTGTATTTCTAACTTGAGAATCTCTGTACTCGAAATAACCTATACACAGAGATCCGAAAGACTACAATTTTGACCTCTCCTGTTCAAAATCCTTCAACCTTCTTTTGGTGATAGTGACACGTATCATATTTCTCAGTCAGGAATTCCTACTAAGGTTCCTGAAGTGAGAGGATGCCTTAAGGTGAGCAACAGCTTTCTGAGTGTCCAGGCAACTACTGAAGCCCTCTAGCAGGTGCTTTAAATTAGTTTTCTTCAGTCAGGAAATTAATTCACCTGTAGAAATTTAACATTGTGATTGGAAAGTCCATGTCATTTCTTCACAAGTGTGTAAGTTAATGAACGGATGACGATTTAGCATTATTTCAATACATTAAACAGATTCTATCATGCAAAGAATAAAGGACGATGGCTTCAAAATAGCAATGTAGAAAGAAATAGTCCTATCTGAAGAACAAACACGTGAATTTTACAAAGAGCATGAAAATCAAGACTACTTCGCAGTCCTTCTTGAGCAAATGACCAGGTATGTTGAATGAAAAATAAGAATTTGGATCTATAAATAAGACTGAAAATTCCACAATGAGTAATTGGCCTGAATAATACATGGCTACAAGATACCCATGTATCTGAGAGTTTAGTAAAATGCAAAACAGACAACTGCAGATAATGAGATAATTCCCAAGTATAGCAGAAAAATAAATGAGGTGTTTTAAAATTACTAGCTACTCCATACCTCTGTATGTATGATGTTGAAGTCAGGGGCCAGTTCCATTGATCTGGAATCAGTCGAGCTCTGCTCTGGAAGGCAGCATTTAGGCTGTCTGTAGGAGAGCTCTGAAATCTCCGTCCAGGCTGTGTGCTGGGTTCCTTGGGGAGGAAAAATAAATCATGTTTGGATATTGCCTTCATATGAAGTTGGGATACAACTGGGACAAAAACTTCGGAGCTGATCAGCATTTTTATGTCTAATAATAAAGACATAACCCAATCCTATAACATTCTTGCTGTTGTAGTAACATTCAAAAACATTAATTTAAATTTCAAAGTTAAAGCCCCATAAGGTTTTATCAGACTGTAGCTGCTTAAACAGAGATCAGTTTTAAAATCCTCCAATACTAGGGCTCGTTTTCCTAGCCTGGACTATAGATAATCAAATTACTTTTACAAATTACAGGGAGTTTAATTTTTTTTAATGCCAGTTTTCCCATTTTACAGTGGCCCAACTCTTGTACTTGCTTTAACACGAGAAAATGATACAGCACACTGGACAGATTTATTAGGCCCAAAGACTGTTGAAGAAGCTAAGAAGGAAAACCTGAACAGGTAGTACTTACAATAGTAAAACATCACCCACAGCTCCCAGTTTACTGTCACATTCCTTATCTCAACGAATACCACGTCCCAACTGGTGTAACTACAGTGCCATCATCTGGGAACTGATACATATGTCTGCCGTTTGTTAGGCTTTTCTTGGAAGAAGTGTTGTATTACACATAGAAACTATAGCATTTTTTGGAGAAATAATGGCTGCTAAACATAATGAAAAGCTGAGTTTAAAAAAAGAGTATTGAAGTGAAAGGAGACCTCCCGAGTCAGAGAAAAAATATTGGTAATATCTCATTCTTACTTTTTTTTTTTCTTGAAATAGCACTATTATTTTTAGAACAGATGCTTATTTTCTCAGCTTAATGAAAACTTTGCATCAGTAGAATATTTTATTTGTGACTAAGTTTCTCCTACACATTTTATAAATAGACATTTTCATTTTACCTGCTTACCATATTGTTCTAAGAAACTGCTGTGGTATCATCTTACCTGTTGTTGACCAAAGTGCTGTTTCATTAAGAACGAACTGGCATTACCTTGGAAATACAACAAGATGTTCATATTTCAGGTAGCTAATAAAAAAGCTGATTGTTCTTTTTGTAGACAATGAAAGCTTCCTACTCCTACAGAGAGATCATCAAGCACTTAAGTCACCTAATCAACATTAATTTATATTCACTGGGTTAAGGCTAGTCGTAGTTAAAGCTCAAAATGGCTACTCCTTTAAGTAACTTCAGTCTTCTAATGACTTGCAGTTTACGTGCAAAGTATGCAGTCAACAACATACCTATTGATCAGCTGCATGGTAGCTCCACACCTGATGCTGCTCAGAAGGAATTACGGCTCTTCTTCCCTCAGGAGCACACTTTGGCATTCATCAAACCTGCTGCTGCTAAGCAGCATAAAGGTAAGTAAGTGATCTAGAAAGCATGGGCTACGTCTGCTGATGTAATTTCTACAAAATATTAGCAATGTACACTGCAGTAAATCACGTTACTTGTGTTCTTTTTATTCTCTAAAATATTTTTTCCGTGCAGAGAAATGCTTTTACGGAGCTTGCATAATTCATATTGAGGTCTCAAAGGTGACATTTCCTTTGCTTAAGCTGCCTGTAGCTCTTTCTTCACAAGAATGGTGGTGAATTGAAGTGAGAGAGCTCTTAGCTAAGTTAAACCGTTTAAAAGCCGGGTACTTGTGCAAACTAGCTGCCCAGCATCCTTCTGAGTCAAAGGAGAGAAAGGCTTTCCAACTCCATGTTGCTTACTTCAGACAGGTATCTCTACTGACTCAAAAGGGGTCATTGCTCAGTTAGATGCATTCCCATCCTTGGTCTAAATTGCCATTAGACAAAGGGAATGAGGAGGAAAAGTCAAAGTGAAAAGAACACCGTGTACAATTCGGCATCTTACCTTAAGGATTTTTGCTGCCACTTTTTTTAAACCCTATATCCAGAACCTCTTCTTGGCATCCTGCTTTTCTGCCCTAACAAATTTCAGTAGTCTTTCTAACGTTAATTCATCGTTGGCTTTTGTGAGTCCTTCTTCCCCTCTTGTAGCAAGCCAGAGTGGTTTTAGCAGACCAGCGGGTGTGTGATAGAGCGTTACAACTACAGCCCACCTCTGTCCAGTGTGAGAAACAGCAGGGAATGCTACCGGTACAGCTTGTAACAGTCCGGGTTTGTCACCGGCACAGAGATGGATTAGGGCATTGACAACGGTTTCTGTACATTATAGAGGACTGTGGAAGTGTTTGTCATATTGTCCATGATTGATTGACATTGTAAGTAGAATTTTGATAGGTATTGGTGTCTTTTTTTTCTTTTTTTTTAAAAAAAGCATTTATTATTTTCTGAAATTTTTAAAGTTTGGGTGTTTTTTTGCATCTAAACTTTTAAAAATTTTTTTGCATCTGAACTATTTCCACCAAGAACGAGTTTGCTTGTTATTCTCCTAGATGACATTATGCAAAAAGTTTAAGATGCTGGATTTACCATCTCAAAGATTAAAGAAGCAGCTTTATCTCGTGAAATGGCTGCACAGTTTTATAAGGATCACAAAGGAAAACCCTTTTTTGAACAGTTAGTGACCTGTCTGACTGAGTAAGTGTCTCGTTGTACAATACTGAGATATGTAAGTATACATCAAACCTTGAATTTACGGTGCCAACAAAACATGCTATACCCAAAGTGGGCTAAGGATTTTACACTCTGTCACTCTTTCTGGCAAGTTTCTTGGCTTCTAGCATGGACTGCTCTTCCTTTAAAAGGATGATTTCCAAACTCACAGATAATGACTATTATTTTGGAACTTTTTATCAAAAAAAGAACTAATTTATGAAGGAATACTTGTTCTTCCCATGTAGGACAAATATCTTCCTCATAATATTGTTAGCATAGCTGTTGGTAAAACCATGTGTTGTCTTGCTTCAGAAATTACTGGGTGAGAACCTTTTTAGGACAAAAAGTCCAAATCCAAATAGCTGATCATCATAATCTTTTTGGCTTTCAAATACAGGATATTGTCTTAAACAAAACACTCAACAACAACTTTTAGAATTTAAACAGTTTAACAATATTCAAAGAGAATAATGCTTATCTTAACCCTTCATGGTACCTCTGGAGTCACCGCTAAGTCTGCATCTCAGGAGAGTGTAAGAGCTTCCTTATATTGATTTTACAGGGGCCCATCGGTGATAATGATCTTAACAAAGGAAAATGCTGTGGAAGACTGGAGGCAACTAATGGGTCCAACCGATCCAGAAGTGGCAAAAGAAACCTCTCCTGAATCAATCTGAGCTCAGTTTGCACAAGATATTTTGTCTAATGCTGTTCATGGATCATCTGATAGAGAACATGCACTGAAAAGCATTCAGTGCGTATTTGGGGAGATTGATATAGATTCAACAATTAAGATCAATCTCTGAAAAATGACATTTGTGTCATCAGATGCATTTGTCTACCCAACCACCTATATTTAAGACTATATATACACACATATTTTCTTTCACACTCCTTCCTTTTTTTTTTAACAGCCCTTTTTTTTGTTACCAGCTTTGCCATATTGCGAAGCATATCAATATAACAAGTAATACCTGCTAGAAGTTTGATTTTAGTAATGATTTCTTTATGCACGCTTAGTCGATGGTTTTTCTTTTATCCCTTTAACAGATCTATGCCTTTCCAATAGTCCCAAGAGACTAAGGTGTTTTGTATATAAATAACCTTAAAAAAACAGGGTCAAGGGAGGTCATTAAAACATTATTAATGACACATCTGCTGCAACGTGGATCGAGTCCTCCGGTTCAGGCAGCCTACAAAGGAGAAATGCTGAAAGGCAGTGGAGGCACTGCTACAACGCTGGCAGGGAGCAGCAGCAAGCGTGGGAATGCTCCAGATGGGATGGGAGAAAGAGCCAGGAGCCAAGCGCACGGCAGCACAGGCTGTGCCCTCGCCGGTGGGGCACAGCCCCCAACCAGAACTGGGTAGCCACGTCCACCAACAATCCCAGACAAAGTCAGTAATGAACCAGGTCCAGGACCCATTCAAGGGTCCAGTCAAGAACAACAGGCGAGAGAGCCAGAGACAGGTATTCCTGCAACGCAGCTCAGGCAAGGATCAAACAGGGCTCCAGGGTCCGTTGGCCAACGGTGTGGGTGTGTATCCCAGGTGAGACTGCTCAGGGCTGTTGAGGCCCATTGGTTCCCTCAAGGCCCTTAAAAACACTTGCACTGTTTATTTATCCTTTCACTAAACATCTTCTAACGATTACTGTCACAGGTAGGAAAACAAACTAGAAGGTCCTTTCCGGATCATTTACTCAATTCAAATATGTCAGATGAAGTAATATATAAAGTCAGCTCTTACAAAACAGCTATTCTTGACATATACCTCCTTGCCAAACTAGTGAATTTGTATCCTCTCTGTCTGGCTCAGCTGGCCTTCGTGAAGAACACAAATATTCTTCTGCAGCTGATACATTCTCACTTTTGCTGTCCAAGTCTGTCGAAGGCTGAGATACTAAAGAGTGGCATTCAATTAAAGCAATTTACTTACAGCATTGACTAGAAGTGCGAAGTCCAGAAAGAATGAAGTCTTTCTCACACTTTCTTTATTGTTCCTATTGTATTTAACACAAATAGCTGTTTTAAAGAGCTTCCTGACAAATATTTCTGCTGTGATGGGGTATTTGTTATTATAGACATTCCTCCAGCAGAAGTTGGACTGGGCGTTCTCCTGATGGCCCATTTTCACCTACAGCTGCTCTACTGCCATAAACTCGACTTGAGGCTAGCTCGCCTGTAGGAAGTGGTGGTTAGGGCAGAATTTGTACCTTGCCTCGGTGAGGTGAGTTCCGAGAAGCATAATTCACAATCACTGTATGTTCTTTGGCTTATTTTTAACTTCAAAAACCCATTAAAACTGTTCTTCCTGGCAATATTTAGGCAGTCTGGGTCTTTTGGGTGCTGGCACGTTGTACTTTATACCAAGAAGCAGTCTCAGAAAAGGCCTGAGTAGGGCAATTTCAGATGCATCAATTCAGCTCATTTCCCAAGATCTTTGCTAGAGTTAACGGCTTCTCTACCAATGGGGCAAACAAAATGTAGAAAGTTTGGATGGGATTATTTTTTGACAGGAACAGAAATGCTGAAAACGGCAAAACGTGGTTATGTCTCATTAAGAGTTCATGAAACTTCTGATGGAAGTTCACAATCGAATAGCTTGGTAGGTATCATACACAGGGCTTGAACACTGCGGATCGTTTATTGCACTGGTCTTGGAAATTTCAGTTGGCTGTAAGGGTACAGTAGCTCTGCCTGTTTAAGTGTGATATAATTTTATATACTGAGTTATTGCTTGTTTAACCATCATTCTTCATCCTCCATTATATCACTGTATAGCATTTTTGTCAGTTTGGTTTAACTATTAGATGTTGAAGGATTCCATTTATTTGGGTTCATATATTCATGTGTGTCAGTTACGATCCCTGTTTTGTGCTCGGTTAAAACGATCCAATAGATTACATTGAAATAGTATGCATAGATCTATGACAGTTTTTCTTCATGTTGCATAAGTATCCAAACCCAAATTAGAAATGTAGGAACATTTAATTTATTAGTGCTTATTTTCTTCTCCTAAATATGTTCTTAATGTGTTTTAGCAGCTTTGGAAAGGAGCAATTTAGGAGACACATTTCAAAATAATAAAAATAACAGTTTCAATCAGCTGGTGAAGCGCATCAAACTCGTGAAGGTTTTATATCTTTGAGATGCAGACTTTGTAGAATTACCAAAATACCATGCATTCAAAAGTGTGGTAACTGAAGTACTGTCAATATTTTAAGAGATTACTTTGTCTTTTTAAAAATTTAAGTCAACATTTAGGTATTGTACACATAATTTCAACTGCCGCCCACTCTTCTTTGAATTTTACATTACTGTGACATAGACATGGATGTAATTTTTAAGAATTTGAGCACTTGTGATGGGATCAGCAAGCATTTGCATTTATAGAGGCAGGAGGAATGTGTTCCAACATAAACTCCATTGTGTCTCACAGAAGAAAATCTTCTTGCAATTAAATTTACACAACTCCTCTGCCTACAAATCTTACAGAAAGCCTGACTTTGTCCTTTTATCTCATATCTAAATGCCAGATCAAAAGACTTTCATGACCATTTATTTAGAAAATATCTGGCGGTTC